CCCCGTGACGTATATAATATGCCAAATGCAGTAACAACAAAGTCTCCAATGGAGACGTTACTGGGCCTGCTCGAGCAAATCAACGAACAACGGGAGGGCCTTTACCTTTACCTAATATTTCAACTCCAATTCCACCACCATGACCCCTTTCCACCACCTTTATTTTGAGTTTTCCCACCACTGCCCGAGATTTCCCCAAAATAGGCATTCATCTGGGGAACATAAAGTAACAAAATAGGAGACTAACACCCAAGAAGAGCCGAGATAAGTACCAGGAGGTTTACTCCATGGCATAGAGGCCAGCCGCACATGCTAGGGGAAATGGCAGCTCAGATAGAGAAGGGAGCACCAAAGAAAGGGTATTGAGAGGATCCTCCCAGGATGGGACATGCATGCTGAAAGTAGACTACAGACCGAACATGTTTGCCACTCAATGCCTGTTTTGCAAACCACAAAACCCAAAAGGAGAGAGAGAACAAAAGGGAATGCCCTGCCACAGAGGCAGTGTGGGATGCAAGGGGATGGGGGGTGGGAGGTATAGTGGCATCAGTGGTGGTGGAAAGTGGGCACGGGTGGAGGGATGGGTACTCGATCACTGTATAACTGAAACTCAAGCACAAAAATTTCTAAGTCTACAACTGTACCTCATGGTGTTTCACTAATAAAAAATTTTAAAACATTTATTTTGTATTGCTTGCTATAAATAACTGACTAAGAATGATCCAAAAAGGTTTCCGTAGAGGAAAGTCTATGAAAATTGTTGTATCTCATCTTGGAGCCATTGGTCGCTGGGATTAGAGACAGAGAGCTAATTTAAGGACATTGGGCAAGGACCTGGAGAAAGCAGCGGGTTCTTGTTCATCAGGGACCTTTGGGTAGCAGACAGAGAGCACCACCTAGTGAACTGGAAAATGAGGAGCGCTGACTGTGTGGGGGCAAACTACCTTGGAAGAGGCAGGTCATAAAAGTGTTTGTCATTGCAATCCCGCCTGAATCCGTAAAAAACAATTTCCTTCCTCCCACCTCAATCCCGAACCCACAGGATACTAGACTACTGTGAAGGTGAGTTTGTGGGGCCAGGATGATGTCGGAGCTGAGATCAGGGCAGAAACTGGGGAATCGAGTTGATTCAAGTAGTGGCTACCACATGGGAGCTCGTGGTGGCCGAGAGACTATTCTTAGCTTCCCTGTTGCTATTTGGTGGAGCAAAGGCCTGGGAGGCAAGCAGGTCCTACCCATCTGTAATTCTAAAATGTTAGTGTCAGGGGCTAGAGCAATAATACAGTGGACAGGGCGTTTGCCTTGCACGTGGCCAACCCGCGTTACATTCCCGGCACCCCATAGGGTCCCCCGAGCACCACCAGGGGTAATTCCTGAGTGCAGAGCCAGGAGTAATCCCTGTGACTCAAAACAAAACAAAACAAATGTTAGTGTCAGATGGAACTGTGTTCATTTCTTTTGGGGCCACACCCGGTGATGCTCAAGGGTGACTCCTGGCTTTATGCTCAGGCATCAGAGAACTCCTGGCAGGAGGTGAGGAACCATTTATGGAGCTGGGAATTGAACCCAGGTCAGCAGAGTCAGGACAGCATCAAATCCCTTCTGTGATACTTAGCCTGGTCCTCGAAAAAATAATAATATATTCAGGGGTCAGACATATAGGACAGCAGGTAGAGTATTTGCCTTGCATACAGCTGACCAGGTTCAATCCCTAGCATCCCATATGGTCCACTGTGGACCACCAGGAGTAATTCCTGAGTGCAGAGCTAGGAGAAACCCCTGGGCATTGCCAGGTTTACCCCCCAAAAAACATAAAGGATAATATAACCAATGTTCTCCTTTTCTAAGAAAAAAATTGGTTCCACTAATCAAGTGTGACCTTTCTACAACACCAATAATTGTTTTATGAAAAGGAAGATATTTTTATTTATCACCGTCAGTCTTAAAGTTGTTTTAAAAGTGAAAAATCTTTGGTCATGGTCTTAACTGTATTGTTGTATTTTTCTGTTCTGCAAATCTACAAGTCTAGAAACTACCACATCATCATTTCTTGTTTTATGACTGCTGTAGTTAAAACTCGAAGTAGGAACATGAGGGATTCAAGGCGCACCCCAGTTTTATCAGGACTGATGGGTGTTATGTGCAGGATATGCCTCCATCTGTCCCTTTTCTGAAAATTGCCCTGGATTGTCCTTAAACATGTTTTATTCCATATCGGCATCCCAAATACCTCTCCCCGAAACAAAAGAAAGACATAGATTCTATCCAGGACGTTTGAAAGATGATCTGAACTCTAGTCCATTCTTCCAAGCAGCCTGAAATCACTGGCATTCTGACACGCTTCCTCCGCCCACCCCTATTTTCTATGCCTCCATACCAGATCATTAAGCTGCACCCGAGCTTTCTCTCTCCACAAAACACAACTGGCTGTGGATAAGTTACTGGAGGCTGATATTGTTTCAGGCCAGTAACTACAGCGTCCATTGCCTCTCCCATTCCCCGTGAAACTGTTCGCACGGTCTCCACTTCACGATGAACATGTTGCAGACAACAGGTTTTATCTTCCTTCTAGTACCCTGAGTGCTCCGCTTGCAGTAGGCACTCAAATTCGATCAGGAAAATGTGATCACTTTCTCCGTACAAGGAGCACTTCAATAAGCCCCCAAATATAGAAACGTCATCGGGGTCCCCTTGGTTTTACGAATGACAGTCAGGAACTAGGGGCCTGGAATTGCATGGGAACGAGGAAGCAGCCCTTGGAAACCCTTTAGTCCCGAGGCTCTGGTTCCATTTGGTTTCTGAAGGGCAAGGGAAGAAAGTGACACAGAATGAAAGCAAAGGACAAAGTGGAGAATCCCCAAGTGAGGAGAGAGACAAGTTCTGGAAAACTCCACAGCTGGCCGGCTTCCCTCCCCACCCCCCCGCCCGCCCCCCCCCCCCCGCCTCATTCCAGGTGACAGCCTGTCAAGCAGGGAAAGAGTGGTCGGCGTGGTCGACCCTCACAGTGCAGCTTCCACCTCACCCTGAGGAGACAAGACACTGGTTCTGGCTTCATCCACCCTGACCCAGTGCTCTCTGAGCCCCCGGGGCCACTCCCTGGGTCTCCTTTGTGGCTCTCTGCTCTGGCCTCCTGTGGCCCTTCCGATGCTCCCTTTCAACTGCCCTCATCTGTGGCCTTTGCTCTTGCCCCATTCGGCTGCTTCCACATTTGCAAAGAGTTTTCTCCCATGACAGGAATGGGCCCTGTTTGCCTGGGCCAAGAGTCACTCAAGAAAAATGTTGCTCCCCCCCTCTTGCCCCAGAACTCTCTCTCTGGAAAGAGTCAGTCTTAAGGTACCCCTGCGGTCCTTGAGAGTTTGCCTAGCGCCACACAGTCACCTGGAGAGGGCAGGTGCTTAGATAGTTAACGTATCTGCTCACCGAGAAGTGCAGAGAAGTTCAGTAACCATTAGAACACCCGACATGTCTGAGCTGACTGTTTGAGGGTGTCTACCTCTCTGGGGAATGGGACATTTCTTTTTCCACTGAGAATGGTGCTGCTAGCTGAGACCATACACGACTATTTCATACAAATGTCCCATGGCTCCAATTATGGAACCAAGAGCTGATCCAGCGGACCTTGCATCCCTGGTACTTGCTCTGGACTGAAGCCATCCTCTTCTTTCCTAGGACTTTAGTGGGGGAACCTAAGGGGCCCCTCAGGAGTGGAAAAAGCTGGCATGCAGGGGGTGCTGTGGAGCAAGGTTCCCTGCAAAACTGTGGCCAGCTGACTCTGGGGTTTCTGGGTTCCATCCTGCTGCCTCTGCACTCAGGAATTACTCCTGCTGGGCTCAGGGGACCATAAAGGATGCGAGGAAGGGGGAGAGGCGGAAGAAGATCAGAACCCTAGTCAGCTGCATGCCAAGCAAGCTCCTGACCCACTGTGGCTCCTCCTCCTCCCGGCCTTCTGTATCTTTTTGAGGAACTCTGCACCCTTTCCCATCCCCGGCAGCTGTGCACAGGGGCCGTTTCTCCAGACCTGCTTGGACTCCTGTGGCTCCAGCTGACCCTCTGTCCCCAGGCCCACCACCGACCAGTGGGAAACACTACACCACTAGGCCACCGTGATGGTGATGGGTGCGTCTGTACTGAGCTTGTACAGAAATTTTCTTTTCTTCCCCTGCGACATCTGGATATGCTCAGAAGTTACTCAAAGATATGGGGTGCTGACGATCAAACCTGGTTGGGTGCTGCAAGGCAACACCGACCCGCTATGCTACAGCTCTGGCCAAACTTTGTATGCCTTGGGCCGTGTTTTTACTTTCCTGATGGCACCTTAGGAACTGACAACGTTTTGAGGATGACCACCTGAACTAGCCTGGTTTTGGTCTCTGTGCCACTGTCCTCAGCAACTGCGAAACTGACTCTGTTCTTACGAACTTTCAAAGCTGAATTTATCGTGGATCTGGGCCACAGTCAGTGGAGTTCAGGGCTTACTCCTGGCTCTGAGCTCAGGGATCACTCTTGGCAGGACGCGAGGCATCATATGTTGTGTTGGGGATTGAACCCGGGTCAGTTGGACACAAGTCAAGTGCAAGCGGCATTACTACTCATTATACTGTTGCTGCAGTCCTGTCACCTCAGTTTTTTCATGCCACTTCACACTCTGAGCTCACTTATGCATGTGTCTTAAGGGGTCCAGCTCTGATCTTTGGCGTGGGGGCCTCTGGTGAGCCCAGCATTCTTTGTTCAAGAGATCCTGAGCATTTGGGCCCTACATGTACAATGTGAACTGCGGAAGGCCAGGCCCGGCCCCTTCCCTGCCATGACTGTCTCTCCTGTCGCCAGTGACTCACGCGCTGGCTGGGTTTGATCCCCAGCACCACACAAGTCCAGAGAGGGACAGGGCAGGTGTCTCCAGTCGGCGAGAAAGGGAAGTGAAGACACACATCATTAGAGGACCCTCTGGAGAGCTCCTCCCAGTACACACAGCTGCAGAAGGAGAAAACCAGTCCTGGCACCTCAGGACTTCCTGGCATCTCTGAGGAGTCCAGTCTCAAGGAGGGGGATCTGGGAGGCACCTTCAGGAGGCTCAAAGGAATAAGACTCAAAAAAGTGGCACAGAGTTGATGGGTTCTCCTTGGGGTCCGTATCCACAGCTGTGAAATAACCAAATCTCTGCTGTCCGGTCAAGAGAATGTGGAGGGAATGTGCACCTACCACGCATGGGACAAGTGTGTGTGCTGCTCTGAGTTCACAGTTCCTTGGATCCAGGAGTGTCCCAAATGGTCAAAATTCAGTGATCTGGCACCTGCAGAAAGAAGAAACAAATTCGATGGCTCCTGTGCCCACCCTGGCAGTAGCCTCCCAGGACCCACTTACCCACTCCCCTAACTACAAGACTCATCGCCAAGTGCTCCCGAGTGGGTGGTTGTTGGGGCTGACCAGCAAACAGTCCTAGCTGGGGGAGCACAGGGTGACAGGCCTTAACATGTGCCAGGACAACTCACACAGCGTTCTGCGACCACATGGTGGCACTCTCCACTTTCCCAGGCTAGCACCTGGGAAGCAAGGGCTGGTTCCTGCCACTTCAGTGGAGAGAGTGACTGAGGCACCAGCACTCACCTTCAGGGACTTGGCTGATGCCTAACAGGTGGTGGCCAGCCCAGGGAATCCAATGCCAGTGCCGGACACACAAACCCCAGGACCGTCTAGGGGAAGAGAAGGTGAGGAGAAACCCTGGCCACGCAGCAGGGGCGGCCCCTCACGCTAGCTCACCACTGAAGCCCCTGGGGGGTAGTCCAGACACCCCCCTAAGTGCCATGTCCCCCAAGCTACTGACCACCAGAGCGCCCAAACTGCCAGGCTATTCGCACGCATCTACATCTGGGGGATATAGTGAAAAAACCCAATGAAATGAACGCCTCACCAAGAATCCTCTATCCAGCTCAACTCTCATTCAAACTCAGAAGGAAACATACACTACTTCATGGATGAACAACAGCTCAGGAACATCACAGACTCAAAACCAACTTAAAAGAAGGACTAAGGGGGCTTCTATACGACAAGAAAACCCCCTACAAGCACAAGTCCCTACAGAAAGATGGCACAAAACCCTCTACCAATAACCTCTCTCAACATCAATGGTCTAAGCGCACCAATCAAGAGACACTGAGAGGCTAAATGGATTCGGAAACTGAACCCAACATTCTGCTGCCTACAAGAAACTCATCTGAACCTTCAGAGTGAACACAGACCCAAAGTTAAAGGATGGAAAACAACCCTGCAAGCAAACAGTTCCCCCCAAATAGCTGCATGGCCATACTAGTGGCCTTAGAACTCATTTATATTTTACTGAAAAATCATTTTCTGGGGCAGACATGATGGCACAGAAGGTAAGGTGCTTGCCTTGCACATCACTGACCCAGGTCTGATCTCTGGCACCCCAGAAGGTCCTCTGAGCCCTGCCAGTAGTGATTTCTGAGGACAGAGTCAAGAGTAAACCCTGAGCGCTGGATGTGGCCCCCCAAAAAACAGAAAACTCATTTCTAAGTTGGATTTTTGGAAGCATAAATTTGCACACAGAAATGACTGGAGATCGACAACACCTTTATATTTATAAAGTATGTTAAGTGGAAGGGCCAAAGGAAGAGGCACTGCTCAGGTCTTTCGGGGGCTAATGATTTTCCCAGCTCCGCCAGTGGTGCCTGAGGCTCCCAGGACTACACTCCATGATGATCGTGTGCGGCCAGGGGTGAAATAAGCATCAACCCCTTCCCAGTCATCACCTTAACCTCTGTACTCTCCGCTACACCTGCCTTTTAATTCTTTTGGTGTGGGGGGAAGAGGAGGTGCAGGGAGAAGCTGTGAATCAGTGCTCAGGAATCTGGAGGCCCCTCCCAGTGAACTGAAACGAAGGGAGCTGGTGGTTTACTAAGAAGCCCGAGAATGTGGGGGTGCTGGCCCAGGAGCACCAAGGCTTTGGGGCCTGTAGGCACCCACATTCAGTGCTCAGGGAACCAGATGGTGCCAGGGAGTGAACCGGATTTCTCCACATGCAAGGCTCACTCTTTAATGCCTAGACTATCTTTCTGGCCTGCAAATTTGGTCTTTTCTACGTCTTAAATCTGAATTTATTATCAGCACGCAGGTGATTGAAAGTTGAAAACTACTGTGATATTGAGACCTGGACAAGGGGAGATCAAAGGCGCTTAGATGCGTATCTCTTTTGGCTTGTAAAAAAAGATTCACTCTAGAGGCCAGAGAGGGGGTCAAAAGGGCCAGGGCATGGTCTGTATCGGGGGAGGAGACCAGAGGAAGATCCTGGGTTCCATCCCCAGCACTGCATGGTCCCCTGAGCACTGCTGGGTGTGTCAAAACCCAAACAAGCAAAACTCACTACTAACATTTATGCTAAGATGTTCCCAACAATACTCTTGAGCACATAAATATCTTTTCTGTCATTTGCACTAGCCTGAGTCAAAAAGAAGTCTTCTGAACAATACTCAGATTCGTCACCCTTAGTGGTTAAACTGTCAAAAACACTGAGTTTACAGCAAATAAGGGAAATGCAATAACTGAACATGCAAAAAGACCTATTCTGTTCTCTCACAGAGATTCTACTTAGGCCAGTGAAGTGAAGAGTGGATGGAGAGAGTGATGGGAATGAGTTCCCAAAGAAATAACCAGTGGGGCTGGAGCAATAGCACAGCGGGTAGGGCGTTTGCCTTGCATGCAGCTGACCCAGGTTTGATTCTTCCGCCCCTCTGGGACATCCCAGCAAGCTACTGAGTGTATGCCACCTGCACGGCAGAGCCTGGCTAGCTACCCGTGACCTATTGGATATGCGAAAAACAGTAACAAGAAATCTCACAATGGAGACGTTAATGGCGCCTGCTTGAGCAAATCGATGAACAATGGGAGGACAGTGCTACAGTGCTACAGTGTTTATAATAATGCACATTTGAAGGTACATAACATGTGAACACTATATAACGATTAGAAGCCAAAAGGCAACAATAAGAAAATAAACATTCTTTTGGCGCGTATGGAACAACATTTATAAAAACTTCTCACATACAAAGGAAGTCCCACAAATAAGGAAATTATACCATGCAAAATACATTCCAACCTCAATCCAATAATCAACTATAAATAAATATTTTTAAAAGACACTGTACATTTATAAACTAAAAGAATAATGTAGTAAACCACTATGACAATAATAGCTGGGAATGTGAGGCTTAAAAGTAGGTAAGGGATATTCCTGATAGCATTTCAGTTCAATATTGCAAACCACAATCGGAGAGAGAGAGAGAGAGAGAGAGAGAGAGAGAGAGAGAGAGAGAGAGAGAGAAAATGCCCGCCAAAAGAGGCAGGCAAGGGTTTTGGGGTGATGGGAAGGAACGTGGGGGGACACTGGTGAAGGAACGGGTGTTGGAATACTGTATGACTGAAATCCAATCATGAACCGCTTTGTAATGCTCTAAAAAACCAAACAAATAAATCACGGTCACGGTCCTCCTGTTGTTCATCGATTTGCTCGAGCAGGCCCAGTAACATCTCCATTGGAGACTTTGTTATTACTGTGTTTGGCATATCGAATATATCACGGGTAACTTGCCAGGCTCTGCCGTGCGGGCAAGATACTCTCAGTAGCTTGCCGGGCTCTCCGAGAGGGGCGGAGGAATCGAACTCTGGTCGGGCATATTGGCTGCTTGCAAGGCAAATGCCCTACCGCTGTGCTATCGCTCCAGCCCAAACAAATAAATAAAACCAAAAAAATCATGTAGTATAAAACAATAAACCAAAAAAAAAAAAACAGCAACTGTGAAGGATTTAGAATTGAATCACAACGGAAACAAAAATCTGGGGGCAAAGCTATAATAGATTTTAGAAAGAATTTCATAATCTTAAATTTCTATATTTCACAATAAGAACTTTAGTATACATTAAAAAAAAGTTCATAGAAGAAATGAGAACCTAAAGATAGGATTAAAATTAAGCAAACCAAGTGCCAAACAGGTAGTACAGTGGGAAAGGCACTTGCCTTGCATGTGACCAGTCCAGGTTTGATCCCTTTGTTTGAACCTTTGTTAAATTATTATAGAAAGCTTTTCAGTATGTAAGCCTTGGTTTAAGCATTGCAAAGCCTGCTGGGCAAAGAGTGGGCATAAGACCCAAGAGAGGCCAATCTTAGCCTATTCATTGAAACCTGAATCTTCAAAGGATGCTGAGGACTCCGCACAGAGAGCGGCTAAAATGCAGCCTCTCTAATATTCAGGCCTTGGAGAAACCTTTGTTGAGATCTTAGTTCCTCAATCCTTGGATCTGTGTTGTCCTTTCCAAAATCTGATTAAAAGTCTTCCTTTGGAAAAAAAATCTTCCTTTGTTTCCATTCAATTTACAATATTCATTTCTGCTGCAATTGCCTGAGATGAATAATTTCTGTTGTTTGTGTCACCATTATGCTGAATGGACAGAACTCCCAAAATCAAATGACGCAGTAACTTTGTATTTGTTTAATATCTCATTATCTCTCTCTCTCTCTGTCTGTCTCTTTCTCTCTTTAAAGTTATTTATTGACTCATCGTGAGAGCAGTTACAAAGCTTTTGGGTTTAAGTCTCGGTAATACAATGATGAAACACCCGTCCCTTCCCAGTGCACATTTACCACCACCAAAACCCCCACTATACCCCCCAGCCCACACCCTCCCCCTACCTGTGTGGCAGATGGTTTCTACATTACTCTCTCTCTCTCTACTTTGATTACATTCAATATTTCGACATCAGACCCACCACTATTATTTGGAATTTTACCCCAACACTCACATCTGCTGAAAAAGCAACATTAGGCAATTTGTTTTCTACTGCTGATCATGAACAACGATTTTGGATTTCTGAAATCTTAACAATTAGATCTGGAGGAATTTCTGCCAAAAGCCGCTGGGTTCCAAGATTTGTTTTTGAGTCTCTGGGATCATGGTAGAAGCAGTTTGTTGAGTAGTCAGAGGGCCCATTTGTGGGCAGTGACTGGGGTCTCTTTGGGCTGTGGGAGGGAAGAGCCAGTCCCACCCCATTCCATCTCATTATCTCTTTCTAGCTACTCATGAGCCTTTCTCTTCGCTGTCTCCTATAGAGGTACTATAGAATTTGAGAGAGATGGCTCTGGATTCAAGTTTTTGGGCTCCATTCCTAGTTCTGTCTCCTCTAAACTATGTGAGTTGAGGCACCCCAGCCTCAGTTTCCTCCCCTGCCAGATGGAGAAGAGCAATACCTACATTTTTCAGTCATTATAAAACGCATATGAATTTCCAAAGGTAAACTGCAAGGGCTCTTGGCACACAGTTCAGTCCTGAGAAATGCTTATGGAGATGATGGCAGTGGTAGTGAAGCGAAGTTCTCTGGCTTAGGAGGCCATGATTGCTTTCAAGGATCTTTTCTCTCCTTATCTAAATCCATGGAAAGAGTTCAAGCACCACCATTTCCACAAGATTCACACAGGTCTGCCAAGTGCACATTCAACTAACAGTTGACTTGCAGAAATTATAATCTATAGCAGACCCATAAGTCATGATTATGGGTCTTTCTTTCTTTCTTTCTTTCTTTCTTTCTTTCTTTCTTTCTTTCCTTCTTTATTGTCAAAAGTGTGTAAACCATCACTACCCCAATGACAAAATCCTTCCTTGAAGGTAAGAATGTAATTGTACATATTGAGAGGTTGGGGGTGGAGAAGCCTCCCAAGCAATGCTCAGGGGACACTCCTGATAATATGAATCAACTGGATAGTACAGTAGACTCGGACTACTGTAATCAACTTGGACTCAGGAATACAGCTCTGTTCACGCCTCGCAGTACTCACAGTCAGCCTTAAAATTTAACACTTTATTTTCTCTCTCTAACCCCTGCCCAAGAGCCAAAGCAATCCTGGGGGTAAAAGAAGGTGGGAGGCATTGTAAAACTTCAAAATGCACAACAAAGCGGCAGCAATTAAAACAGCATGGTACTGGAATAAAGACAGACCCATAAATCAATGAGATAGGATTGAAAATTAAGAAACAGACCCTTGAGTATATATATATGGTCAGTTAATCTTTGATAAAATGGTGCTGAGAAAACTGGTCAACCACGTATAAAAAAATAAACTCTAACCTCTTTCTTTCGAATGTCATGCACAAAAATCAAATCAAAATGGATTAAAGATCTTGATATCAGACTTGACCCTATAAGACAAAGAAAAGAAACATAGACAGAAAATCTCCACGACATTGAAGCTAGAGGCAACTTAAAGGAGGAAATACCACTGACCAAGCAAGTGAAACAAAATATAAACAAATGGTGGCACTGTAGCACTGTCCTCCTGTTGTTCATTGATTTGCTGGGGTGAGCACTGGTCTCCATTGTGAGACTTGTTATTACTGTTTTTGGCATATCGAATATGATATGCCGTGCGGGCGGGATACTCTCAGGAGAATGTTGGGCTCTCCGAGAGGGATAGCCACGTGCAAGGCAAACGCCCAACCCACTGTGCTTTTGCAACAAACGTACTATATAAAATTAGTACCTAAAAGTAGCTTCGGCACTTCACAGGAAACAATGACCAGATTAAGAAATTATTTGCCCATCACTCATCTGATAAAAGATTAACATCCAGGACATATAAAGCATTAGCAGTATTCTACAAGAAAAAATGTATCCGATACTATCAAAAAATGAGAAAAAGAAATAAACAGAAGTTCCTCAAAGAAGAAATACATATGGCCAAAATGCATGTTTTAAAAAATACACTACATCATCAATCATCAGGGAAATGCAAATCAAAACAATGAGCTATCACACCTACAGCAGCAAGACTGACACTCATCAAACAAACAAACAAACAAAAAATGTAGTATTGAAGAGGTTGTGGGGAAACGCAGCCTTCATTCGCTGCTGGTGGGAATGTCCATAGGACCAGACTTTTGGGAAGACAATAAAGACATTCCTCAAAAGACTAGCAATTGAAGTTTTATATGACTCAGCAATTCCTCTCCCTGGAAGACATCCCAAGGGTCCAAAGCACAATGCAAGACAGACATCTGCACCCCTGCGTTCACTGTAGCACTATTCATAATAGCCAAAATCTGAAAACAACCCAAGTGTCCAAGAACAGATGACTGGATAGAGAAGCTGTGGCACATACACAGAACACAACGGAATACTACGCAACCATAAGAAAAAGATAAAGTCAGGCAATTTGCTAAGTGGATGGATCGGAGTGGTATCATGTTGAGTGATGTTAGTAAGAGGGAGAGGGACAACTCAGAATGGCCTCTCATACGTGGGATATAAAGAAACTTCATAGGAGTAACAAATGCCCAAAGGCAAGAGAAACAAAGAGCAGGAGAAGTGGTCTTCAGCAGGAAGCTTACTGTGGAGCAGGGGTGAGGGGGATAAGTTGGGGAAGGGAACACTAGAATAATGGTGGAGGGGAAAGTGCCTGCCACAGAGGCAGACTGACAAGTGGGAAGGACACTGGGGACTCTGGAGGAGGGACGAAGAACCTGGAGAAGGGACTGGTGTTGGAAATGGAAAATTGTTAACCTGAGACTTAATACTGAATAACTTTGTAACTATAATTCATAGTGATTGAATAAAAAAATAATAATTAACACTTTAAGGGATCACCAATGAGCAAAAAATATTTCCAATCTCAGCTATTTCTCGGATTACACTTTCTGAGGTGTATGTTTTGGAATAAGTGCCGCCACAGTGAGCACATGGCCGGTGCTCTTTATCATGTGCACAAAGGTGCCAGGGATGTGACCCAGTGGCAAAACACTTAGCTGGTATGTGCGTGTCAAGCTCAAGTTGCAGTACGACCAAATTTATATATATATACACACATATATATGTATGTATATATATTATACATAAAAACAAAAAAAAAAAAGACTGGCGACAGATGTTTGTCTTTTTCCCCACATACCTGGTATTCAATAAACATCTCTCTCCCCACAAAACACAAACACAAAACAACAACAATCAAAAGAAAACTACCTTGTAGATTTCAAGAGTTGAAAATTCTGTTTTCCTGAGTTTTGGAAATAAGTTTTAAAATACAAACACAAAGTTAAGAGGAAAAAACTAATTCCAGTCATCTTAGGAAATTCCCACTGCATCTGTTACTGTGAAGCACTGACACGACCACGCCAGAGGTCTTGTCTTGTTCAAAAATTAAAAAAAAATGGAGATGAGAAACAGATATTCGGAGATATATTTTTCCCCTTCCAATTAATTTTTCCCCTTCCTAGGAATTGCCGAAGAACAAAGTGGAGACGATCAGTACTATAACCTTTCATTGTCAACCTTGCCGAGAAATGTTCTTTTATGTTGGAAACTGCGTGACAGAAAGCACACCATCATCTTGCTGTGATTTGTCTAACCATGAGAAGAAATACACACAGAGATCAAAACTTGGCCACTGCTGCCCCAGAGCGTATCACGTCCAGGTAAGTGATGGCAGCATCTCACAGCTGCGTAGGCTGTTGTTTGGCCGGGTAGGAACGTCCACTGGGGAAAGGGAAGCCTATCCTCAGTCCCATACGAAACTGTCTATGAAATGGAGACTTACAAACTGACTAACTTGACTCACCTGGGAACAAGCTTCTATTACATCTAAATGATACCGCTGCAAAACCCCGTGCTTTGTGGCTCAGTGTTGGCTAAAGAATATGGTTATTTCAAAGTTACGAAAAAGTGACTTTTTTTTTCCAACATGAAATCCATCAAATTTCTCCAGCAGGCTGATGTTTCATTTCTAGAGGAAAGCTCAGCCTCGGAGAGAAAAAGAAAAGGAACAGTGAGGAGGATGAGGGGAAGATAACTCACTGGGATTGTGCCAGACAGCCTGGTGCGACCACGTTCTGATTCTCGTCTTCAGCCTGGAGGGCCGTAAGCCCGGCCATGCTGACCATCCCATCACTCGTGTGGCCGGGAAACTGCGGGAGCACTGATAGAATCTTTTCTACCAAGTTGTCTCCATGAGGTCCCACTGCTCCTATTTAAGCAGACAAGAAGACAAAAATTTACAATGACGACCTGGGGGAAGACCCCTTGCAGTCTGGGTCAGTAACTGTGATCTGTAGAGAAACAAAACCCGGGATCAGACAATATCAAGTGATAACAAATCTTTGGCTTTCGATTTCTAAAGTAAGAATGGCAAGCAGCAGGGGGAGGGGGTTGTAAGGCAGAAACGGAGCCAAAGTAGAAGTGACAGAAGGACCCAAAGGCACGCAAGGTCAGTGATGGAGTCTTTTTGGCACTTTGGGGGTAGTCAAGGTGCAGTAACCTTGTTCAGAATTAAAAAGCGCAAACACTATGGTAACCACGTTACACAAGTTATCGTTTTTAGAAGAAAAGGAGGAAAAGAAATTTGGCTTCATGTTTATAAAGGTCCTTTAATCTAAACTAACATGCAGGTGGGGATGGAAAGAGCAGGAGTTTAGAAACTTGCCTTGCACATGGGTTCAACACCAGGACACCATACTAAATTTTTAGGATAGCGATATTTTTCCTTTTTGTGCTAATGACAATAGAAGGTCCAGAAGAGTGTAGAAATCTGATGAGTAGATCTCCCCTCTTCTGGAATCTTCTCTTCACGTGGTAAATATTATTGGGTACACCCTGTACCCAAGAGGTCGAGGACACTGAACTTACAGTTACAGACTCCCTGAAGTTCTTCCCCGATGAAAGAATGAATAAATTGAGAAATGGTAACAGATAACAATAACAGAAGAAGTTAAAGAGTGTGTTCTATGTACTGGTGACTACTGAGATATTTTACATCTATGTATTAACACTTTTACAACAAATGAGGGTCAGAGAGACATTGTATATGTTTCCTCTGCTCAAGCATGAGGTAACTCTGGATTCAATCCCCAGTACTGCAACCCTCTGATTATCACCAGGAGTGAAACCTAAAGTAATGGGCTGGGAGTAGGTCCTGAGCTTCGGAGACTGCCCCAAAAAACACATTAAGAAATAATAAACAAGTTCATTAAATGAACTCAACCCAAAATTCAAGACAAATAACAGTGTTCAGTGCTTTTTAAAGAATGGACCTAAGTTCTCACTCCCAAATTCATCATTGAGGTTTTTTACAATTACTTTTCAGTTATTATTATTATTTTGACTTTTGAGGTCACACCTGGTGCTTTTCAGGAGCTACTCCTGGCTCTGCACTCGGAATTATTCCTGGTGGTGCTCAGGGGACCATAGGAGATGCTGTGGATTGAACTTGGGTTGGCCATGTGCGAGGCAAACACCCTTCCTGCTATACTATTGCTCTAGCCCTAACTTGATCATTGTTTGGAAGATTATCATTCCACCAGTGAACAGAACTACCCACAACACAACTTTCCCTTGGACAATTCAGAAAACAAAACCTGGGAGACTTAGGGGCTGGAGCGATAGTACATCAAGTAGGGCAAATGCTTGCCCGTGGCTCACCCAGGTTTGATCCCTGGCACCCTTGATGGACACCTCAGCTTGTCAGCAGTGAACCCTGAGTGCATAGCCAGTTATGGCCCCAAACAAAAAGCAGACAAAAAAGATGGTGGACTTAGACATTGATAGAAATATTGATACAATTCTGGCCCAGCTGGTCTTCTCCTCAATGCTCATGCTTTCCCCCTTTTCAGTAAGTAAAGAACAACTTCTGAACCTGCAAATCTATTTCCTTCCAAGGATGAATACAATACTCAACTAATATGTTTGGATCTATAAGTTGAAATGATTTTTATTCACAAAGCAGCCCTGCAAATAGGATTAACAAATATCACTATTGCCGTGCTCGATAGCACAGCGGGTAGGGCATTTGCCTTGCACATGGCCAACACGGCCGACATGAGTTCAATTCCTCCGCCCCTCTCGGAAAGCCTGGCAAGCTACTGAGAGTACACACAAGGGCCCGGAGGATTGGTCCATCATTGGGAGCCTGCAACAAGTGCTCTGGGAGAAGGCAGCTGGAATAGAGAAGGGATCACCAAGCCAGTGATGGTTGGAGGATCGCTTGGGATAGGCGATGTGAGCCGAAAGTTGACCAAGGACCAAACATAATGGCCTCTCAGGATTTGTATTGTAAACCATCATATCCCAAAGGAGAGAGAGAAAGTAAGAAGGAAACTACCTGCCATAGAGGCAGGGGTGTAGTGGAGTGGGGGTGGCGGGAGACATATTGGCGACACTGGTGGTGGAAAAGCTACACTGCTGTAGGAATTGGTTTTCGATCATTGTGTGACTGAAGCTCAAACCTTAAAGCTGTCACTATCTCGTGGCGATTTAATACATAAATTAGAAACCTAAAACCTCTCAACAAGTCAGTCATAAAGGAACAGACCTCAGGTTCATCACCTATAAGTAACCCATGTCTAACATTATGTTCAATGACAAATTAAAAAATAATAAAAGTAATCACTTTATTCATCTGAACTCAGAGCCACCACAGAACATAAAAACAATGGCCATGTCATGTCTCCTAATGTGTTGCCTATTGTCATAGAGAGCACTGTGAACTTGGTTGCATACCTACATAACAAACCTACAGGTCGAGTTTTCACTTTTTTTCACTTTTGTCATCTTCCTAACCATTTAAACATTATTGATTTCAATGACATCTCCCATGTGAGAATTTTCTAACTCAGCACCATCATTCCATTACCCTATCCTCCCGCTGATCCCCTTAACAGACAACAATCAGTTGGTATATCTGCTAATAGTTGGAATATCTTTGACTAAATTTGAACACACCTGTTTTCTTTAACATATTTGTTTTAGAGGGTTGGAGTGACAGTACAGTGAGGAGGGCTTTTGGTTTTCACGCAACCGACCCAGGTTCTATCTCTCACCCCATACGGACTCCTGAGCACGCCAGGAGTAATTCCTGAGCACAGAGTTACGAGTAACCCCTGAGCACTGCCAAGTATGACCCCAAACCAAAAAGTAATAAAATAATATATTTGTTCTAGTGTGCCAGAGAGCTGGGATCCCCAACACTAAGATGTAACAGGTGCTCAGTAACTGTGTTAAATATTCAATCCATATCATTCCAATGCAATATATAATAAATTATGTATTCAACCAAATTTTAATCAATATGTAAAACATTTCAGGTTCTATACTGGACAAAAGTACAAAGAAAAATAAAGGTACAAAGAAAAATAAGCCACAGCCTTAGCTTCAAGAGAATCTAAAATAACCAGAGAAATAGTGTAGAGGTTAAGCCAGTCACCTTCAACAATGCTGATCCCTGTTCTTTTCCGAGGTACTTGATTTTCTGAGGTACTATTGTGAATGGGATTGTAATGTCTGCCATGAAGGCCGGGGGAGGGTGCAAAAGGGGAGGTATACCGGGAATATTGGTGGTGGGGAATATGCACTGGTGGAGGGATGGGTGTTTGATCATCTGTGATTGTAACCCAAACATGAAAGCTTGCATCTATCTCACGGTGTTCAATAAAATTAAAAATAAATAAATAAATAAAAAATAAACAAAATATAAAATGATCACAATAATGCCCAAAATGAGTGTGTGTGTATGTGTGTGTGTGTGTGTGTGTGTGAGAGAGAGAGAGAGAGAGGGAGAGAGAGAGAGAGAAAAAGGGAGGGAGAGAGAGGGAGAGAGAAGAAAAATGCTTGTCATAGGGACAGGCCAGGGGAAGGTGGCGGGGGGGAACCCTGGGACACTGGCAGTGAGAAATATACGATGGTGGAGGCACAGGTGTTGGAAAATTGTATGACTGAAAACCAACCATAAACAGCTTTATGACCCTGTATTGTATGGTGATAAATTTTTTTTAATTAATAAAATGAAATATGAATTTTTTAAATTAAAAAAAGACAAATAATTTAATCTATTCTGGATTCCACCAAAATTTTCCTAAGGATTTTAAGTTGTAAAGGCAATTGCCATTATAACAAGATGACAGTGATATGGAGCTCGAGAGACAGTACAGTGGATAGAGCATTTGCCTTGAAGGTAGCAGACCCAAGTTTGATTTCATATGGTCCCCTGAGCATCACCAGGAGTAATTCCTGACAGAGGTGTCAGGAGTAACTCCTGCGCATCTCTGAGAGTGCCTCTGCCCCCCAAATGACAATGACAGTAGCTGAATTAACTGCATGGTTCTTGAAGTAACTTAAGGAAAAGGTTCTACTGAAGAAATAATTCTAAAGCATTTATGATATATAAGATACAAAGTCTGCTAGATAAAGGATGGTACATTTAATAAGATATTTTACCTTCCCAGTACAGTATATGTCAAATTTGAAAATCAGAAAACACTGACTTCCATTCAACCATCATAACAAAAGCATTATCTGTACTTTATTCATTTCAGAATCTTTCTATTAAGACTCCAAATGTTGTCAGGGAGGTAATACATGAGGGAAGGCATTTGCCTCACATGTAGCCAACCTCAGTTCAAATCCCTAGCACCACATGTGGTCTCTCGACCACCAGATGGAACTCCTAAGCCGAACCAGGAATAGTCCAGAGCACTGTTGGGTGAGGTTCAAATCTCCACATCACCCCACAAGTAAAGATAATTGGATGGACAAACAAATGACAGCTCATTCATCTGATCCAGTTTACAAAACATAAAACTTAGCTAACACAACTAAAAAACAAAAAGGAATAATTAACAACTTAAAAAAGAAGCTAAAGGGGCTAGAACTTTAGCACAGTGGGTAGGGTGCCCGCCTTGCATGTGGTCAACCTGGGCTCAACCCTAGAGATCCCATATGGATTCCAGAGTAACACCTGAATATCACTGGGTGTCCCCCCCACTCCCCAAAACTAAAGGAACATAAGCCATACAGAGTTTAAAAACAAAAGCCTTCTGATTTTTTAAAAATCAATTAAAAACTGAATTAAAAATATTAAAATCCTGGAGCTAAGAAAATAGCTCAAATAAAAGCACATGCCTAACATGTCAGATCCTGTACCATGAATATCACTGAAAGTATCCCCAACACCAGCAGTTACTGGCCTTATTTTAAAATTATTACATATACAAAATACAGAAAAAAACCAAAGCTCAAGATTGGAAGAATGCAAGCTGAAATTTAATAGTTTCTAAATCTAAAAATTTGCAGCACTCATTTTACAAAAATACTTTCAATTCTAGAATTACAAATTACTGATTCCATGCAACTTTTATAATTCAATTCACCATTAGGGAGGAAATCTTTTCCATGGCTAAGTATTTTTTGAGATATAAATAACAAAGTATTTGTTTTAGGTGTTCAACATGACTTGATATACATATACATATATACATATAAACTGCAAAATGCTGATCACAGCAATTTAACATTCATCATCACAGTTTTCATTGTTTCCTTATAAGAATGTTTAAGATGTACAAGTTTTAGCAACTGAAAGTAAAACTTAAATAAGAATGCTTTCATATCATGATATGATAAAAAATGTAAAACCAACAGAATCTATCACTAAAGTCTTAATAATGGCACCCAGTTTTTGATACAGAACTGTTCAAGGAGTAAAGGATGTATTTCAATGGAAGAGTACATGCTTCACATGTATGTGGTCCTGGGATCAATTCCCTGCACCACAAGACTTGAAATTGAAAATTTAAAAACTTACCCATACTGTAGTGCTCCCGTTTTAATGTCTCCGATAGTGACATGAACATCATCCTCATCATCATCACTGTCACGATCATATCCAGTTTCAGTCGCTTTCTATACCAACATAAATAGTAGTAAAATAGATTCAATAATCCACCTTCAATATCTACTAACTGAAAAAGTAACCAATTTGTTTCATCTATGGGTTTAGAGTTATGAAACCAATGTTTCCACTTCTTCTTTGTAACTTTAATGCTTTATAGCCTAAAAAAAGTGATAGAAATGTGAAAAAAGCTTTCAAAAAGTTTTTGTAAGACTACCTAATGTATCTTTATATGTAAAGCTTTCTCTCTTGCAAAAAGGATCTAAGGGAATGTGCTAAGATATCCAGCAGATAGAACCATAAAAAGTAGGCATTGGAAGAACTTTTGGCAAAAGGAATGTGAAGATAAGAGTGAAAAATTAATTATGGAGCTGGAGCCATAGCACTGCAGGGAGGGCATTTGCCTTGCGCACGGCTGACCCTGGACTCGATTACCAGCATCCCATATGGTCCCAGAGCACTGCCAGGAATAATTCCTGAGTGCAGAGCCAGTGCATCAGCAGGTGTGCCCCGAAAAGAAAAAAAAAATTAATCATACTAGGCACAGTGTTAGGTTGAAAAGCAACAAAATGTTACCAAAGAGCTCACCAGTCATGGCATTCATTTATATCTAGAAGAGGTCTTGCCACAAAATGACCGGGAATATATTTTATCTGAAAAACGAAAAAACATCAGCATACTTAGGAAATCTCTTAGGAAAGTGTTATTCTGGCTCTAAACAGCTATTTTGTCCATAGTATCCTTTTGGTTAACTTTAAAAAAAAGGACCATTTAAACCAGTATTTATCAATAAGAGACGGTATGAGACCAGGATGTTCCAAGGGGCAACGGCAGAATTCCCATGGGTGGGAGAAAGCAGGAGACTAGAGGACCATTAGCAGGAGAGGGCAGGCCACCAGGCCACACGTGGAAAAAAAGGCTGGAAGGGGCCAGAGTCTGAAAAAGACGGAAAACCATGAACCTGGGAACAACATTTTTACCAGGACAAGTTTAATCCTGCAGAGTACCAATCTCTTTCTTTCACAGAAATAACTGAATATATTAAAATCTTCAAAAGACCATGGTAAAATAATCCTGCAAAACATCACTTTGAAGGTGAATGAGGTCAGAGACCAACATACAAAATAGCACCTTGCTTAAAAACAAAACCAAAAAAGCCAAATATTTCTTAAAAGAACTGTGATCATCTAACAGGTTCAGAACTCAAATGAAAGCAATAAACCTCTGCACACACTCTATTTCATCTGAACACCTTCCCACTATTTCTTTTCACTGTGCATCAAATAAAAATACCTGACAGCGAGATTGTGCAGGATACTCCAAAGTCTAGCTAAATGTAGACTTTCTTCTTAGCTAGAAATCTACAGATTTTAAATACGGAAGCGACTGAATTCCAAAGCCTTATGTTACTGGTTTAGGAACACCATTTTCAGCAGCTTCCTCCTCAATCCCAGATGGAGGACTGGCACGACAAACAAAAACAAGTACACGTGTCTGTGGTTACTTTCGGGCAAGTGCCCGACTGTCGGGCAAGAGGCGCCCTTTTCCGCAGGTGCGTCCACGCGCACTGGCCCTCGGGAAAGGAGCCGTTGGCGGGGCGGGGGCGGCGCCGTCCCCGGGGCGCGGGGCGAAGCGCTGAGGACGGGAGGGCGTGCGGGCAGCTCGGAGGCCGGGGAGGGCGTCCCGGCCGGGGGCCGCGAGGACAGAGCGAGGCTTCGCGGGAGGAGCGCCGGGGAGCACCGGGCGGCAGGTACCGGCGGCGGCGGCGGGGGCGGCGGCAGCGGCAGGCACGTGGTGAGGCGCGCGCGGCGCGGCTTGTGCGCACGCGCAGCGGCGACCCAGCGGCGCGGCGGCGTCGACCTGAGCCTGACTGCGCCTGCGCGTGGCCCAGGCCCCGCCCCCAAGACATCCCGCCCCGCCTCGCAGCGAGGCTTTCTCGCCCGCTGAAAAGGAAAGAAAGAAAAGGAAAGAAAGGAAAGAGAGAAAAGGAAAGGAAAGAAAAGGAAAGAAAAGGAAAGAAAGGAAAGAAAGGAAAGAAAGGAAAGAAAAGGAAAGAAAGAAAAGGTCAAAAGGAAGCCCCCATGGGCAAAGCAAGAGGGATTTGCAGAGGGCGGGTGGGGGGGAGGCGCAGCTGACGCGGTCGCGGGCGAGAAAGCCTCGCTGCGAGGCGGGGCGGGATCTCTTGGGGGCGGGGCCTCGGCCGCGCGCAGGCGCAGGCGCAGTCAGGCTCAGGTCGCCGCCGCCGCGCCGCTGGGTCGCCGCTGCGCGTGCGCAAAAGCCGCGCCGCGCGCACCTCACCACGTGCCTGCCGCTGCCACCGCCCCCCGCCGCCGCCGCCGGTACCTGCCGCTCGGTGCTCCCCGGCGCCCCTCCCGCGAAGCCTCGCTCTGTCCTCGCGGCCCCCGGCCGGGACGCCCTCCCCGGCCCTCTGAGCTGCCCGCACCGCCCTCCTGTCCTCAGCGCTTCGCCCAGCGCCCCGGGAACGGCGCCGCCCCCGCCCCGCCAACGGCTCCTTTCCGGACGGTCCGGTTAATCCGCACTCTCAGAATTACTTTATTTTATTTTGCTTTTTGGGGGGTCACACCCGGCGACGCTCAGGGCTTCCTCCGGGCTCTGCGCTCGGGAATTACCCGGCGGTGCTCGGGGGACCCTGTGGGATGCTGGGAATCGAACTCGGGTCAGCCACGTGCAAGGCAAACGCCCTCCCCACTGTGCTCTCACTCCGGCCCCCCAGAATTGCTTTAAGAAGTTTAGTTTTGGGGCCACACTCTGCCTGCGTGGAACCACTCTTGGCGGGCGTTGGGGACCATGTGGGGTGATGGGGCTCCCACATGCCGGGGGCGGCGGCGGCAGCGGGGACCTGGTTCGGCGCGCGCAGCGCAGCTTTTGCGCACGCGCAGCGGCGACCCAGTGGCGCGGAGGCGGCGACCTGAGCCTGACTGCGCCTGCGCCTTTGCGCGACCGAGGCCCCGCCCCCAAGAGATCCCGCCCCCAAGAGATCCCGCCCCGCCTCGCAGCGAGGCTTTCTCGCCCGCGTCCGCGTCCGCTGCGCCTCCCCCCCACCCGCCCTCTGCAAATCCCTCTTGCTTTGCCCATGGGGGCTTCCTTTTTACCTTTTCTTTCTTTCCTTTTCTCTCTTTCCTTTCTTTCCTTTTCTTTCCTTTTCTTTCCTTTCTTTCCTTTTCTTTCCTTTCCTTTTCTTTCTTTCTTTCCTTTTCTTTCTTTTCCTTTCTTCCCTTTTCTTTCCTTTTCTTTCCTTTCCTTTTCTTTCTTTCCTTTCTTTCCTTTTCTTTCTTTCCTTTTCAGCGGGCGAGAAAGCCTCCCTGCGAGGCGGGGCGGGATCTCTTGGGGGCGGGGCCTGGGCCGCGCGCAGGCGCAGTCAGGCTCAGGTCGCCGCCACCGCGCCGCTGGGTCGCCGCTGCGCGTGCGCACAAGCCGCGCTGCGCGCGCCTAACCACGTGCCTGCCACCGCCCCCGCTGCCGCCCCCGCCGCCGCCCCCGCCGCCGCCCCCGCCCCCGCCGCCGCCCCCGCCGCCGCCCCCGCTGCCGCCGCAGGTACCTGCCGCCCGGTGCTCCCAGGCGCTCCTCCCGCGAAGCCTCGCTCTGTCCTCGCGGCCCCCGGCCGGGACGCCCTCCCCGGCCTCCGAGCTGCCCGCACCGCCCTCCCGTCCTCAGCGCTTCGCCCATCGCCCCGGGGACGGCGCCGCCCCCGCCCCGCCAACGGCTCCTTTCCCGAGGGCCAGTTTGCGTGGACGCACCTGCGGAAAAGGGCGCCTCTTGCCCGACAGTCGGGCACTTGCCCGAAAGTAACCACAGACACGTGTACTTGTTTTTATTTGTAGTGCCAGTCCTCCATCTGGGATTGAAGAGGAAGCTGCTGAAAATGGTGTTCCTAAACCAGTAACATAAGGCTTTGGAATTCAGTCGCTTCCGTATTTAAAATCTGTAGATTTCTAGCTAAGAAGAAAGTCTACATTCAGCTAGACTTTGGAGTATCCTGCACAATCTCGCTGTCAGGTATTTTTATTTGATGCACAGTGAAAAGAAATAGTGGGAAGGTGTTCAGATGAAATAGAGTGTGTGCAGAGGTTTATTGCTTTCGTTTGAGATCTGAACCTGTTAGATGATCACAGTTCTTTTAAGAAATATTTGGCTTTTTTGGTTTTGTTTTTAAGCAAGATGTTATTTTGTATGTTGGTCTCTGACCTCATTCACCTTCAAAGTGATGTTTTGCAGGATTAATTTACCATGGTCTTTTGAAGATTTTAATATATTCAGTTATTTCTATGAAAGAAAGAGATTGGTACTCTGCAGGATTAAACTTGTCCTGGTAAAAATGTTCTTCCCAGTTCATGGTTTTCCGTCTTTTTCAGACTCTGGCCCCTTCCAGCCTTTTTTTCCACGTGTGGCCTGGTGGCCTGCCCTCTCCTGCTAATGGTCCTCTAGTCTCCTGCTTTCTCCCACCCATGGGAATTCTGCCGTTGCCCCTTGGAACATCCTGGTCTCATACCGTCTCTTATTGATAAATACTGGTTTAAATGGTCCTTTTTTTTAAAGTTAACCAAAAGGATACTATGGACAAAAGAGCTGTTTAGAGCCAGAATAACACTTTCCTAAGAGATTTCCTAAGTATGCTGATGTTTTTTCGTTTTTCAGATAAAATATATTCCCGGTCATTTTGTGGCAAGACCTCTTCTAAGATATAAATGAATGCCATGACTGGTGAGCTCTTTGGTAACATTTTGTTGCTTTTTAACCTAACACTGTGCCTAGTATGATTAATTTTTTTTTCTTTTCGGGGCACACCTGCTGATGCACTGGCTTTGCACTCAGGAATTATTCCTGGCAGTGCTCTGGGACCATATGGGATGCTGGTAATCGAGTCCAGGGTCAGCCGTGCGCAAGGCAAATGCCCTCCCTGCAATGCTATGGCTCCAGCTCCATAATTAATTTTTCACTCTTATCTTCACATTCCTTTTGCCAAAAGTTCTTCCAGTGCCTACTTTTTATGGTTCTATCTGCTGGATATCTTAGCACATTCCCTTAGATCCTTTTTGCAAGAGAGAAAGCTTTACGCATAAAGATACATTAGTTTGTCATACAAAAACTTCTTGACAGCCTCTTTTCACATTTCTATCACTTTTTTTTAGTTTTTAAAACATTAAATTTACAAAGAAGAAATGGAAACATTGGTTTCATAACTCTAAACCCATAGATGAAACAAATTGGTTACTGTTTCAGTTATTCATGTTGAAGGTGCATTATTGAATCTATTTTATTACTGTTTATGTTGGTACAGAAAGTGACTGAAACTGAATATGATAGTGACAGTGATGATGATGAGGATGATGTTCATGTCACTATCGGAGACATTATAACGGGAGCACCACAATATGGGTAAGTTTTTAAATTTTCAATTTCTAGTCTTATGGTGCAGGGAATTGATCCCAGGACCACATACATGTGAAGCATGTGCTCTCACACTGAAATACATCCTTTACTTCTTTAACTAGCAGTCCTGTATCAACAACTGGGTGCCATTATTAAGACGTTAGTGATAGATTCTGTTGGTTTTACATTTTTTATCATATCATGATATGAAAGCATTCTTATTTAAGTCTTACTTTCAGTTGCTAAAAGTTGTACATCTTAAACATTCTTATAAGAAGAAAATGAAAACTGTGACGATGAATGTTAAATTGCTGTGATCAGCATTTTGCAGTTTATATACATACATATATGTATGTATATGTATGTCAAGTCATGTTGAACACCTAAAACAAATTCTTTGTTATTTATGTCTCAAAAAATACTTAGCCATGGAAAACATTTCCTTCCTAATGGTGAATTGAATTATAAAAGTTGCATGGAATCAGTAATTTGTAATTCTAGGACTGAAAGTGTTTTTGTAAAATGAGTGCTACAAATTTTTAGATTTAGAAACTATTAAATTGCAGCTTGTATTCTTCCAATCTTGAGCTTTGTTTTTTTATGTATGTTATATATGTATATATTTTAAAATAAGGCCCCAAACTGGTAGTGTTGGGGATACTTTCAGTGGTATTCATGGTACAGGATCTGACATGTTAGGCATGTGCTTTTATTTGAGCTATTTTCTTAGCTCTAGGATTTTAATATTTTTAATTCAGTTTTTTAATTGATTTTTAAAAAATCAGAAGGCTTTTATTTTTAAACTCTCTATGGCTTGTTTCTTTAGTTTTGGGGAGTAGGAGCACACCCAGAGATATTCAGGTGTTACTCTGGAACCGATCCTTTAAAAAATACATTTTTAGCAGGGGTGAGGGTTGGAGCCACACCCAGCTGTGCTCAGGGCTTGCTCCTATCTCTGTGCTCAAGGATCCTTCCTGTTGGGTTTTAGCGACCATATGGGGTGTCAGGGATCCAACCCTAATCAACTGTGTGCAAGGCAAGTGCCTAACCTGCTGTGCTATCTATCTGGCCCCGAAGTTTTAAAATATTTTAAAATGTATTTTAAAACTATATTTCAGAGTTCGTTCCAGATTTTTCTGTAGCTTTGAATTGCTGTCTGCGTGAGATGCTGAATCCAGAGTAAGCCAGCAGCTTCCCTGCTGAAGAAGATAATTTATGAAAATTCACTTAAAAAAAGACTAAATCTCCTATCTTGAATCTCTGCATACAGTGTAACTTGATAGTATATTTTTTTTAAAAAATAATTTAAAATGATTTTTAGGGGCTGGAGAGATAGCACAGCAGTAAGGCGTTTGCCTTGCAAGCGGCCAATATGGCCGACCCGAGTTCGATTCCTCCGCCCCTCTCGGAGAGCCCGGCAAGCTACCGAGAGTATTCGATATGCCAGACACAGTAACAACAAAGTCTCCGATGGAGACGTTACTGGGCCCGCTCGAGCAAAGCGATGAATAGCGGGAGGACCGTGACTAAATCCTTAATCCGTGATTTTTAGGGGCTGCAGAGATAACACAGCGGGCAGGGCGTTTGCCTTGCATGGGGCCGACCCAGGTTCGATTCCCAGCATCCCATATGGTCCGCTGAGCACCGCCAGGAGTAACTCCTGAGTGCAGAGCCAGGAGTAACCCCTGTGCCTCGCCGGGTGTGACCCAAAAAGCAAAATAAAAAAAAAAACAGATTTTTAGTCATTAGTTACAGACATTTAATATTCCAACACCAGTCCACCACCATTGCACCTTCTCACCACCATTATTTCCAATTTTCCCAACTACCACTTGAACGTGCCCCCATAGCAGACCCACTATCATTTATTTTACATTGCTCGTTTTAAATAATTTGATAAAAGGATGATCAAAAACTGTTTCCTTAGAAGAAAGATTGTGAATTTTTTCTTTGTTTGCTTTTTTGCTCCAGCCCCGGTAGTGAAGATTCTTCTATCTCACCATGGAGCCCTTAAACCTTGTGTAAGAGATTACTAAGACGTTACAGGTAAAGCCTTCTGTGTATAGATTTTGTCAATTGAAATTGGTTGCCTTTCATATTACATACCATCCAGTCTGGTGTGCTACTTCTGGCTTAACAGTGTTACAGAGTTAGAGATGTTGCGTAGCCAGAATTGCATCCACACACTCCAGGGTGTCCAAAAGTGTTGACGGAGTAACAGATGGAGTGAAATTCTTAACTGGTGGCTTTGGGGCATAGGCCTGACGGCTGGGCTTCCAGAAGCACAGAGGGTAGTCTGTGCCCGATCTCCGAAAGCTGATTGTGGAATGTGGAGGTTTTTGGCTGCTGGCACTCTGTTTGGGTGGACGTGGGGATTCACCCGTTCCTCTCTGGGTTGCCTCTGGATGACTCAGCCTTGTGCAGGATCCGAGAGAAATTCTTGATCTCTTTCAAGATTTATTTCTAAGTTTGTTATTCTAATTTATTCTGGATCATGGCCTGTGAGAGAGCTCACATGGCGCTGGAGGTGTTCCTGCCGGGCTTCCAGAAGAACAGGGATACATGGAGGGAGGGAACCCTCCCTGACCTCATGAAAGCTGGAGATTTCAATCACAAAACCTGCATGCTGGAGTTTTTCAAAATTAATTTCTGGATGAGACTTATCCGGATAGTGGAATTCGGCCAGGAGCAAACTGATGATTGTGAAACATCCAAAAAATTTTAAAAAGAATTATCAGGAGGGGATGAGTGAAAATGACCATGAAAAAGAGCTGTGGAGAGACAGTTTTTGTGGATGAAAGTTGCAGAGTTGGGCTGTAGAGGGTGGAGAGGTAAGTGGAAAGTGAGGGAGGGGTCCATTAGCACAGACCTCTCTAGAAGGCTGACTGTGAATCCATGTTATATTCTTTGATCTAAGTTAAAATGGGGGGATAAAGAAGATACTTTTGAGTACTAAACAGAATTATGGGTAACTTGGAGAACTCAATGGCTTCACGGCTTGTCGAGACGTTAATTGAAAATATAACTGATCTGGTCAGTGTGGGAGATTCATGTTAAAATGAAATACTTTCACATACTTGCTTGAAATTCCTTTGGACTCCCAGGTATGTGGGATCTAGCACTTCGTGGCTATCTAAATTACTGTTAAGGAAAATGTATACAGGTCTTAGGCCAAAATCACATAAGTAATATTGGCTAAACCTTGAATGTGAATGGGGTTCTGGCTCCAAATTTTAGCTTTTCCCTCTGTTTTCAGGTATATTTTACTACGTTAAATGAAATTGAGTTCATCTTTACAAGTGTTTCGTTTTCATGTAACTTCCACCCAGATCAGGATATGGAATGGTACTCGCATTCTAGAAACCTGTTCCCTATTGTTTTCTCTCCGTCCTTAACCACTTACACCAAGAACCACATTCTGGTTTTGGTTTAGATTGATTTCATTTTATGAATTTATTTTATGGACAAAAGTAGTCCATGTATTTGAAAGACGATCTACTAACAGTATTGAATGCAGTGAGAGCCTAAAGGAGATCACTGGATTATAAAACAAGGACTATTTCTTATTACTTCTTTCTTACAGGATTGCTGACTACTGAATTCAGTAGGAGGCAAGGAAATGAGGACAAGATGTATATATAAATGTGTTACTTACGCTTTAGGGCTGGAGTGACAGCACAGTGGGTAAGGCGTTTGCCTTGCATGTGGCCAACATGGCGACCTGGGTTCGATTCCTCCGCCCGAGAGTATCTCGCCCCCAGGGTAAAGTCTGGCAAGCTACCTGTGATGTATTTAATATGCCAAAAACAGTAAGAACAAGTCTCCCAATTTGTTGTGAGACGTTACTGGTGCCCGCTCGAGCAAATCGATAAACAACGGGAGGACGGTGCTACAGTGCTACTTTCCCTTGACCAGCTTAGTTTCTTGGGAAGTGTGTAACAGTGGGACATGTACTGGCAGGTAGGTTTTTGAAGAAAAAAACATTCAACTTTTAAGACCCCCTTTTGGGGGGGGCATGGGAGAATTGGGGAGTGGGGCGGCTTCCTAAGTGGTGTTCAGTGCTAATGGCCTGGAATGAATTTTTTTAGGGATTGGCCTGCCAGGTGTTGCTCCGGGGCCCCTTTGCCTTTGGGGATTTCCTCCTGTTGATTCTCGGCTGTTTGAGCAGCAGTTCTGTGCTGTGAGGTGCTGGTGCCACCAGGATTGTCGTGACAGTGCTTGGGACCCCTGGATAATAATCTGGCAGTGTGCGAGGGGTCAGATTGTGTTGGGGATGATGCCCAGGTCATGCTCATATTATGTATGTGCCCTAACCCAAACATATAAGATGTAATTGTTTCTTTTGTGGAAGAGTCCTCCCTTTGTTCAGGTGGCCCAGGCCTCACTGCGAGTGATTCTCAGCCCAATGGTAGGTGGTTTAATTTGAGGGCCAATGTATGTGGTCGTATTGTTCCAGTCGTGCTCAGGTGCTTCCAAGGACACATCTGGGGGTACTTTTGAAGGCCTTCAGCACTATCTTTCTTGATCCCAGAATATCTGTTTTTTTTTAAATTTTTTGTTTAATAAGTGACAAAAAATTAAGACTTTTTTCCCCCTAGGGGTCAGAGAAATAGTACAGCGAGTTAAGTCACTTGATTTGCCTGTAACCAGTTTAGTTTGATCCCCAACACCACCTGGTCCCCCGAGCATTGCTGAATTGGCTCTGAAGGTCTCTGAGCACAACTGGGGTACTCTAGATAATCCTTGGTACTGCAGTGCTTGAAGAACATTGCATTCTCAGACCCAGGCATTGAACTGCCGACCACAGTAATGGCAGGAAGGGGCCCTTAGGTCCCCTAATCAGCACTTCGGAACCCTCCCCCACACCCACTTTTTTAAAACATGTTAGTCAATGTCAGTCTATATATGTATAACTTGTATACATGGAGTATATTGCTATTTTTGTTTAGTTCAGGATTATCAGAATAATTTTTGTTGTTCTTAGGAGTTACGGAAAAGCACCAGTGAATCTTAATATCAAGACAGGAGGAAGAGTTTATGGAACTACAGGTAAAATTTGTATTTGCCAGTGCATCAGTAGGAAAGTAATGACTATGCCTGAATAACGTACAGACTATAGTAGCTATCACAGGTGATCTGAAGAGTGCTTCAGTTCAATTCAAGAGAGTCGTTTAAACTTGTGTCTCAAGGATGGGGAAACTTTTCTCTGTGAAAGGCTTTGTAAGAGAATACGTATTTGTAGAGTTTGTGGGTCACGAGGTTTCTTTCCCTCTTTTGATTTTAACTTGTTTGTACAACCCTGTAAGACCTGTTATAGTTCGCAGCATATAAAAAGGGATTTAACACCTGGAAGTTATTGGTACATATTGGTACAGGAATTTATTTGAATGCGTTAACAAGTTCCTAATCCATACACTTTATCTTAGAGTTTCTTCCCTAAAGTTTAAACTTACTGTTATTGATAACGTGCTTATTCCTATAGTATGCCTGACTCTAATGTTCTCATTGAAGCCTTTGTTTTATTGAGAGCTATCACTAGTAAAATGGTGTTTTCTGTTTTTCTCTCAGTATCTTGCTCATGCCATTCTTTCTCTATTTTGTATTTGTTAAAAAAGGAACAAAAGTCAAAGGGGTAGAGCTCGATGCACCTAGAAGTATTAATGGAGTTCCACTCTTGGAGGTAGATTTGGATTCTTTTGAAGATAAACCATGGTGTGAACCTGGTAAGATGATAAATGACTCCATACCCCTCCCTGGGACCAGCCTCAGTGACCCTCAAGGTCCTGGGGCACTCAGTGTGTGTGATGCTCAGTCTTCTGGGATGAACATTGTGGTACCAGGGCGTGTGCTCCAGGCCACTGAGCATGTGCTCTAATACTCGAGCTGTTTCCCCAGCAGAAGAGGACTGGATTTTTCTTGGGAACACCTGATGGTGCTTGAGGTCTGCTGGCAATGACTGGTTACCTTGTGTGCTTGTGATCAAACCTGGGCATCTATATTCAAAGCATTCATTCTAGCTCTTTGACTTATCTCTCTGGATTGCAGATTTTTAAAAGATGTTTCATATTACAGTCATTAGAAAAATATCTAACTTTCAGTATCAATAGTATTCATAGGATTTTTGTAAATGTCATTATAAATGTCCTAAGCATAATTAGCAGTAATGACCTGTGTTGCTAAATTGTAACAGTAGCTTAGCATTATATTAGTCTTGCATAGCATAGTATTTTCTTATAATGCCATTTATAAAGGAAATTTCATTAAAAACATAGTTTTGTGGTGCTAGAGTAATAATCGGAAGAACTAGTAAAATTTGAAGAAGTATTTATACTTATAGAACTTATCATTTACATTTTTATATTTTATTTGCTGCATGAAAATAGGATTGAAATACTTGCATACAAAAGTTGTGTCTTCTTTTTAGGCGCTGACCTTTCTGATTATTTAATTATGGGTTTAACGAAGATACCTGGAACGCTTACTGTGAAAAACAAAAAAGGATACGAATGGGGCTTGAAGTTATAGCAGTTACCTCAATTACAAATATATTTATGGTAATTAGTAAACATTTCAAAATACTCCTGTCTTTTCTATTTTCTATTCACTTTTTTTCCCTAATCACTTTTTCCCCATAAAGGTGATTAAATACTGTGTGATAGTTTAAAATTCCGTTCTTTTTATCGTGTTTTTTCCCCTTCCCTTTCAGAGTTCTATGTTAATGCTTATCTGATATTTAGCTACAAGTTACTGACTAGCCACAGTTAGTTTGTATTTGTATGGCCTATCAATTCAAAATTACATGGCATCTGAATGGGGAATATGTTATTTAACTTATGCCAAAGACTGTACTATGGGAGTTACACCAGGTGCAGAGATCCAAGATGGCAGATTCAATCTTTTTTTTTTTTTGGTTTTGACTTTTTGGGTCACACCCAGCGATGCACAGGGTTTACTCCTGGCTCTGCACTCAGGAATTACCCATGGCGGTACTCAGGGGACCATCTGGGATGCTGGGAATCGAACCTGGGTCAGCCGCGTGCAAGGCAAATGCCCTACCCGCTGTGCTATCGCTCCAGCCCCAGATTCAGTCTTTTTTTAAGGTGAATTTTAGTAAATTATCCTTGGTTGCTCTCATTTTTTGTTCTTGAGTCTTCTCCTATGCCACTACTCAAGGGACAAGATTAAAGTGGAAATAGCTTCTCTGTTTCCCAAACCTTCAGCTTCCTGGTGACCTACAAGTTTGCTGATTGTTGTTTCATCTCCACTTTTGCAAGCATGTGAATTTGTACCCTATTATACTAACAAATGCAAAGTAAAGTTCTTGCTCTATGTTGTGATTTTACTTTGAGTCATAGCCTATGTTTGTTTGTTGGATATAAAAGTTCTTCCAACAGGTTATGCTGTTATATAGACCATAATATAATCTATCAAAATTGGAGGCTTAAATTTTCCTTGTTGTTTTTTTTAACAATGGTAAGGAAAATGGCGATCTGAATATCTCTATAACTTTGAATGTTGTATGTATTGCAGTTTGGGCATTCTTTAAGAAAAGAGTCTCTTAAAGAATTGTGGATTTACTATTATTTACAATGACTAGAAACATTTTCTGGAAAGTGAATTTTACTTTTACTGGTTCTTTATATTTTCCTTGAATAGAACAAAGAAAGTTCCTTTGTAAACTTCCAGCTTCCATATACTTTTGTCTCTTTGCAGTAAACTTCTAAAAGTAAAGAATATAAAGGAAATGATGGTTTCCATTGAAAGTAGCCTTCATGAATACCTTGTTGATATGTATACTGCTTTACTGCAAAGTTGTTTTGAAGAGTTTTTTTTTTTCTGGTTTGGAGTAGAGGTCATTTTTTCATTTTAATTTTTGATTCTGAATGAATACGGGTTTGAGTTGGATAAGTATAGTCTGTTGGCTCTTTTTGCCTTGATAATGTGCTTAAATATTGCTTGTCTTGTAGAAATACTGATTTGGGAATAGGGTATGTATATTTTGTTTGTTTGTTTCGGGACCACATCTGTTGGTGCCCCCGTCTTGGTGCTCAGCGTGACTTCTTTGGATGATGGGAACTTGGTGGTGATGGGCATTAAACATGGGCCTCCTGCATGCAGAGCATGTGGTCAGCCCATTGAGCAATCTCTCCAGTCATTCAACTTCATTACTGTGTGCAGCTCACGATGATTTTTTTTCATTTTGCTTCCTGTTGTCTGTAGGATCTTTTAGGTAAAGGTAAAGGTAAAGGCCCTCCCGTTGATCGTCGATTTGCTCGAGCGGGCCCAGTAACGTCTCCATTGGAGACTTTGTTGTTACTGTGTCTGGCATATCGAATACTCTCGGTAGCTTGCCGGGCTCTCCGAGAGGGGCGGAGGAATCGAACTCGGGTCAGCCATGTTGGCCGCTTGTAAGGCGAACGCCCTACCCGCTGTGCTATTTAAAATGCTGAAAATGTGAAAATGTGTTTGAGCGCAGTTGATATTTTTAAGCTGCAGTTTAAATTTCTGAAAGTGCCATGTTAAGATTTTCAGAGTTTTGTGGAATATTTTTAAAAAATGATTACTTGATTTTTTACCATGTACCATGTAAATGGTGATTAGTAAAATGTTACAAAGTTCTTATCAGTAATGCAAATACGAAGAGGTACATGTGTGAGGTCCTAAGTGTGAAAAGGCATATTTTAGATAAAAATATTATCGTTTCTAGAGAATTTCAAGAATTAATATGAAATCAGATATTACTTTGGTATGCAAAATTATTGTGATGCTAAATATAGCTTGTTTCAGTGCTTTCTTATTAAAAATCTTTAACTATGTCAATTTTATTGTGATACCAGGATTTACATTATCTTAAATCATTGATTTTGTGCATACATCTTTGTTTGCAGTACCACACGTAACACCAGAGACTAATTCCCTTGACTGATGTCCCAAGGACCTTTCCCAATTCTCCACCCTCCCCACACCAACCTTCATGCAACCTCAGATCTACAGATAAAAACTTTCCGTTTAGACTATAGAAGAAAAACAGTATGCAGTATTAGAGAAGTGTGTATTACTGTATTGGGTTTGAGGGTATAGAGAAATATTCTAGATGGAGGAAATTCTAGTTGTGTGCGGTGGGTGACCGCGGCGTCCCTGCAACATTCTCTGTCCTCAGCCATCCCCGCTTCGCCTTCTGAATGCCGTGCGGGTCTTCCCCAGCGCTGCTGCCGCCCCATCCGCGGTTCTAGGCCATGGTCACGTTGTATTTGCGCGCACCGCCCACTTAGCCCAATGGGCCTGCGAACTGCACCTGCTCTTCCAGTCCTCTCCGCTGAAGATGGGTTGGCGCTTGGCTGGGATCGGGGCCGTGGGAAGCAGTGCTGGGCTGGGGCACCTTACACTGCCATATACCCCCCCCCCACCAGCTTCCCACTGCCTTGCAGTGTCTACCAGTATCCAAGCAGCACACGGCCCGTCCCCACAGGCTGTCTTCTGCAGAAACTCTGAGGCTGGTTGCAGAAAGAGACTAGCTGGAAGGGTCAGAGCCCAGTTCCCAGCCTCCACTGGGCTTTGAGGGGGTCCAATGTGTGCTTGACAGTTCTGCTGCCTGGAGGGACTCGCGGCCAGCATCATCGCTCTGTCTTCCGCCCACTGTTCCCGGTGCCCACCCTGAGTTCCCAGTTCCCACTGAAAACTTTCTTCCCTTTGGGTGCTCCCGAGGCTCCGCCGTCTCCAGCTCCTGAATTCCATGTCACTTAGGCCTCAGTTTAGTCCCATTCATTTGTCTGGCCCATTTCCATTCTTCTGTGGTTCGGTTCAGTTTTGGTGGAGCAGGGTTGGGTGTGGAGGGGATGGGGGTAGAACCAGGGGGTCCCCCGCTCTGCTGTTTTCCCGTGCAGACCCCCCATCCCCTCCCATACCTCTGAATATATGAATGAGAATTATGGTTTCCAAGCCTTTCACATGATAATTCTAAGCCTCCTCTGATTGGCTCCCTGAAGTGGCTTCTCTTGTGGTCATTCTCACTCCCCGTCCTTTTGTCCTTGCCTGCGACTTGATCAGACATGAGAACACCCCTTCGTGTGACCACAGACTCTTCTGCTCCTCTGCAGACCCAACACCTGCTTCAGCCCCTACTCCAACCCCTAGGAATGAAATCAAGGTCTCATGGACCTTATTTGCTTTGCAGACAGTAAGGTGCAGCTAAACTCTGGCCATCTCACGGTCATATTACAGCTGGATTTGAAAACGTTTTTGGCCATAGCAATTGGAAAGCTGGAGCGATAGCACAGCAGTAGGGCATTTGCCTTGCACGCAGCCAACATGGCCGACCCGAGTTAAATTCCTCCGCCCCTCTCGGAGAGCCCGGCAAGCTACCGAGAGTATCTCGCCCGCACAGTAGAGCCTGGCAAGCTATCTGTGATGTATTCGATATGCCAAACACAGTAACAACAAGTCTCAAAATGGAGACGTTACTGGACCTGCTCCAGCAAATCGATGGACAACGGGAGGACAGTGATAGTAGAGAGGGGGAAAGCTCTTGGCTTCCACTTGCTAACACTGGTTGGATCCCTGGCATCCGGTAAGGTCTCCTAAGACCTACCAGGAGTGATTCTTGAGTGCAGAGCCAGGATGAAGCCTGGGCATTGCCAGGTGTGGCCCCAAACCCCAAAATAAATAAATACACTTATATCCATTTTGGGCTGGAGCAATAGCACAGCGGGTAGAGCGTTTGCTTTACAAGCTACCGAAAGCTACCGAAAGTATCTCGCTCCCACTTCCAAGCCTGGCTAACTACCCATGACGTATTCGATATGCCAAAAACAGTAATAGAATCTCACAATTTGTTGTGAAACGTTACTGGTGCCCACTCGAGCAAATCTATGGACAATTGAGGACAGTGCTACAGTGCTATATCCATTGTAATTGATGAGTGGTACTCCTCCCACCCCTTTCTCTCATTGGCTATTAAGACCATTTCGTAGGAACAGGGATGTGACTCAGTGGCAGAGCATAGACCTTGCATGAGTGAGGGCACCCCAGGAGGAAGGCGAGTTTCATAAATATGGTGTTGAGATTTTTATAGCATAAGATTCATTACCAGTATAGTGATAATGGCAACATTCTGTAAATCAGTATGTAGTTGTGAAGGTGGTACTCTCGTTTGATCTTCTCATGCACAGGCTGGGATTACCACCTTCTCTCTGAAAGTTTTCCATTTCTATGAGAGGTTCTTTTATAACTTGGAGAGCACCCATAGTTCTTGTCTATCTTTGGCCTCCTATAAGTACAGAAAAGTAAAGGGGATCTTAATGTAAAATGAAGGAAAGACTCAAGTCATCAGAGAATTTCTTCATAGTTACCAGCAAAAAAATGAATAAAAAAAAACTGTTACAAAATTAAGGTAACTCCTCTCCAGGGTCTCAGAACCCTTCTGAAGCTTCCTAAATTGACAAAACTGCAGTCACTACAGGTCCAGGCCAGTCTGTGGTGTAAGCATTCAAAGATCAGTCTTCATTGCTCCCTCTCCTCAGGCAGCTTTAGGTTGGGGAAACTAATTTTGTTCTTT